GCCCCCTGGAGGGGCCCCGGGCGGACAAGGGCCCGTGGCCGCGCTTGGCTGCCGTGTGGGTCCGGGGTCCGCTCGCGGGTCTGGGGCTCCGGGATCCGCCGGTAACACAGCGAGCAGCTCCTGCGCCAGAGCCGCTCTGCCCCGCGTCGACGGCTTCGCGGGCAAGGCGTGCGTGTGCCGCTGGTTCAGGCCGAGTTCCTCTCGCCCAAGGGGCTTTTGTCGTTCCTCTAGCAGTCTTGCTCCACCAAACAGCACGGGCGTCTTCTAAAACACGCAGCTCAGTGGCTGGGTGCAGCCTAGATGCAAACAAGGAAGAAATGAACTGGGGTAGACACTATTACAGGGTTTTTTTGTCTTTTAATGCTTGAAATCCAATTATGTATGAAATGCTCAATTTGAGGGGTTGTTTAAGCAGCAGTGCAGGCAGTGTCTGAACCCAAGCAGCACAGCTGTTCCCGGTGTGACAGACTTCTCTTACACGTGGGTGCTGCTAGGCCTGATAATAACTCATAAGCTGTGCAGTAAGCGCTGGTCTCAGGCTTATAACCTGCAAAGACGTCTCTCGGCATCGATTAGACTGGTTTCCCGGAGGCGGGAGGTCAGATGCTCTTTCGTGACAGCCAGCAGCGCATCTGTTGTGCGCGGAGGAAGCCCCGCAAAGAGCGCTGATCGTTTTCTAGTGCTCGCCCGACCTTTTCGCCGTGCCACGGTAAGTACTAGGGAGAAGTGAAAACGAGCACGGCAGCCAAAATAACCCCAGGTCGCCAGTGTGATTTCTTCGTGAGGCTTTTTTGACCTTCCTGTGCTGCTGCCTCTCGTGCCAGTCACCTGGCCTAATTCTACAGGCAAAACATGTCTGTGATCTGTGTTTCCCTTCTGCCCAGCCCTGGAAGGGATGTTTCACTAGCCCTTAGCCATTGTCATATCATCGTATATTAATTCTATTTTCCTGCTGTAAAATGCAAAATTAAAATAAACGGCCAGCAGGCAGACAGCACAAAAAGCTTTAGTGCCAGCAGGCAGACAGCACAAAAAGCTTTAGTGTTTCATAATATTTCAGTTAACTTTAGGAGAATCTACGTAATAGGGAAGGAGGCGCTGTGGAAATTACCTGTTTTCTCCATTGAAAATTCTTCTCCTCCGTAACCTCTGTAGTGCACGGGTTATTTTTTCCGTGCCTACCGTGACTCCTGCCGTCCCTAGGCTGAGAATGCTGAACTGCGAACGACTTCCCAGCCCTTCGCGGGGTCCGGCAGGTCTGAGTGACGATCGCTTCCATTCTGAAGACAGCTGCAGCGAGGAATATGTGGCACTGCTAAAGATTCCTCTGGCTAATAATCTCTCCGTGTTTCTTCTATATATGGCAGAGTGATGTAGTCGTTTGTATGGTATGAGATGTTCTAGAGCTCGATGGCCCAGTGAAGAGGTGCAGCAGGGTAGACTTTTATTGTCTTCACGTGGAACACCTGTATTTAACCTATAGAATTGAAAAGATAGTCTTGGGGTTTCATGTAAGCTATTAAAATCACAACTTTCATCAGGAAAGCAACAGAAACTACCGTTGCTTGCACCGGTTGACAGCTTGCTGATTTATTCTAAACCGAGCACTGTTATTTCAGCGTACTTGTGAAACTCTGAAAATGTCTTTTTAAAGCTGTGTGCAAGAGTAGGCCAGTCCCCAGTGTGCTCATCTCTCCAGTTAGCTGGCTGTAAACCTGTTAAGCTGTTCAGCTGTTTCGTATCGATATTGGGAAAGAATCATGTGTTACTGACTCAAGCCTAGGGCTGAGGTGTGTAACTGCACTTCCAGGCACGCTCTTGGAAGAAGTATTATTGTACGGATTACTGTGGCATGCATTTCAACACATGGCATGGAAATGATTCTTCCATTAAGAAAAACGGTAAAAATTCTTACCATTAAGGAAAGCTACTGTGTAAGGAAACATCGAATGTATACAGCTGCTTTAACAGGAAAGCTTGCTCCGCTGTTGTTCTCTATCAGTTGAGAATGCTTTGGAAATTCATCTCTTCCAATAAATTCCACTAAACAAAGCTGTCAGCATAATTCACCTACCTGAGAATAATTCACCTTTCTCCCATGGCTGCGGTATAAGCTACTGGGGTGACCTTTTATGAGCTAAGACATTATATATTTCTGATGCTACCCAGGTAATCGTGTGTGTAAGAGCAGCTGTTGTGTTTTAAATTGGTAGACTGAAGCTCCCATCCCATCACTTTGCTGGCCTAATACAAATGTTTCTGTTAATCACTTTAGCATAACACACCTTTAAAAATATTTGTAAATGCCTCCTCAAAGTCATTTTGCAGATAATATTAATTCACTTCACCGATAGGATATTTACTTTTTGTCTTCCATCATTTGGTAAGGTGTTCTATAGGACCTGGCAGTGCCAGTCAAGATGAATTCAACTTGCCCTCCTTTATTAAAAGGGTTTTGCATTGTATTATTTTGTTTTCAGAGCACAAGTGATACTTGTGTAAATTTGCAATCAGTCATGTTTTGTCATCTTTAGATAGGCCTGGCTGTTACTCTCCTCCAGGAATGGTCCTGTTGGCATCAATAGCTCAAGTGAAATACTGATTAGTTTGACTATCAGTAGAGGACTCTGAACTTTCATTTGAGTTCAGTGTTCTACTTTCCATCCAAGCGGTGTAGCAAAACTTCAGCCTTCCTTTCTCACGCATTATGTAGCCGTTGCGGATTAGAAGAAGTATATATCAAGCCATAGATGGGCCAGAAAAGAGCTTGCAAGGTCCTCTGATCTGTCTTCATCTTCCAGAGAAAAATCATCGCTACTCTAATCGCACGACATGGAAGATGATCCAAGCTCTGTAAGCACCCTCCACAGTCGGAAGGAGGAGTATCTACCAGAGACAATTCTCTGAGGTAGCTGTGGTATTTCTAATTATGAATTTTCTGTCTGTTTTGCCTAGGTTTCCTATGGTAATCACCTATTGTCTCTGTTACTTTCATGTCTCTGAAGATAAAGGTAGCTCTGCTATTTTGGGGCCAAGCCATGAATCCTCTGGCAAGCAGTTACCCACTGACTCAGTGCACTGGTAGTAAGGAGATTGCTTACCAGTGCAAGTAGAGGATTTGCAGTCTGGACATTTCACAAGTTACACTGTTTGACCTTTAGCTTGGGTGGTCTGACCAGTCTGCCTAACTCCCGTTTAGTGTGGACGAGCTGTGCAGTGCAGGATTATGCAAACGTTTATCCCCGAAACTGAGGGAGCGCATTAGTGAAACTGCATGCACAGCATTGGCTAATAACGTCACTTCTGCTGGTGATGGAGTCAATGACTTGAAAGGGATTATGTTTGTTGACACAGAGCACATCTGGCTGCCGTACAGCCGGGCACTCCAGAGGTCTAATTCTGTCCTGATTTACTCCCCATTCAGTTCATGGCTCTAACTCTTCCATATGTGCCACGTGTTGATAAATGTAATTCTTTTATCAGTGACTAAATCAGGACAGAACTTGGCCTTCTGTTTGTGCCTGCAGATTTTAATCTTTAGTGATGCACTTAGCTTTAGGAGGCTGAGTATAAGCACTTGCTGTGTCTCTAGATCTGAAATGTCAGTGCTTCTTGACCTGAATGCACAAATGTTTGGAACAGGGCCCTCTTCATTTCCCTTGCTGTATTTAAAGGATGTTTCTTTCTGTTTAAAAAGTTTAATTTGTAGGATAAAACAGCTGCACTGTAAACATACATATACTACTACTACTAATAATAACAACCCTTGACCACCCAGGAAAGTCTTTTTTTTTTCCCCACAGTGTTGAACATCATGATTGCTCAGTGTCACAGTTTTTTTGGAACTTTTTTTCTTGAGACAGGGCTTTTTGGAAGCCTTTCCAGTAGCAGTAATTGTTCTCAGGAGCTATGTTACCCATTTGAGACGTATTCATGGATCTGATAGAAAGCAGCAGCATAAACTGTTCTAATCCCCCTTCCCCCCTCCCCTCCCAAAAAATAAGCCCTCAGAGTGATAACACTTATAAACATGCATAAAACACTCTTCGCACATGCTCAAATAGGCAGTTCTTGTACTAAAGTTGTAATTAAATGTACCGTTCACCTGCATCACCATTCCCCACAAATACTAAAATACTTATGTATTTTTGAAGATGATAAACTCTCATATCATTATCCATCTCCTAGTCTGTGAGACATCTACAGCTTCTCTCAAACCATGTTACGTCCAACTTCATTGCACTAGTTCCTGCTGGCCAAACGTGAACAGGTATGAGTCGAGTTACAAAGGGTAAGTTACAACTCAGCTACCTACCTGTGGACTGCTCTTTACTGAATGTTGTGCGACTTAGCTGATTGATCTAGCTTGCCCTGTTACTGCACGAGCTCTAGTGCTGACCCAGGACTCCTGATAGGAACTCTCCAAAGCGTATCTATCTAGCAAAGTTGGGTGAACGCCATTAGATGAAATGAACTGAACCCAAATGACCCCCATGAAAAAAATAATATAAATCTCTGTGTATAAAGGTAAAAACATGGCCTAGAATTTTTAATTATTAAGGCAGGACATTGCAGCAATGTATCAATCATCTGTAGGCCTACTTGGAAAATTGTTTTCGGTAAATGCATACTGAAACACCAGAACACTGGTAAGCTTGCTGCAAAAAGAAGCTTCGTTAGAGGTGAAGAGACCAAGACAGTTGCGATTCTACCACAAAGACATTGTTCTGGACTTTTGGAATGGTTATTCTGTGTCTTGGGCTTACAAATAAATCATTCTGTTTAGTTCAGCTTTTAAAATTAAGTTATTTTTGGAAAATGTTTTATCATTTGTAGATATAATCAGTTTGGAGAAGGTAATGTCTTCATTCTGGTTTTATTTGTTTTTTACGATTACTGAAATTATTTCTCTTCTTTACGAGAGCCCTTGTAAGCTGCAAAAGGAAATGTAGCTAGGACTTAATAAAGGAGCTACAATTACAAAGCAGCGTATCCACTTTCCTCCATACTTTGAGTGGTTTCTTTGTGCTTACTTATTCACCTTAGCGTATTTAATCTAAAGAAAGCTTTTGTTAAATCTTGTTTTGCGGGTATGAATTCACAGCTTTCCTGCCAGCCCAGGAAGTCAAGTGAAAATCTGATGGACTGGCAGGAGAGTGAGAGTGCTTTCAGCTAGACAGAGATAATTTATTGAATTTGGGGAGAATGTTTTGATAAATGTGTTCCACTTACTTGTACAGTTCCTATGGCAATGCTGCCCTTTTGGGCCCTCTGGTGTAGTAGAGAAGTGTAGCTATCAATTTTACAGAAGCAGCAGCTATTTTTGACAAATGAGTGAATTGACAGAATCACATAATAGTTGAGGTTGGAAAGGACCTCTGGAGATCATCTAGTCCAACCCCTCTGCTCAGAACAGAGTTAACTAGAGCAGGTTGCTTTACTGAATGAGTTAACTGAGTTGCAGGCTGCCCTGCTCATTAGTGTAGTTTTCATCTTTCCTATTGTATTTTGATAGAATTCTTATTTGTTTCACTTTGGTAACCACAGGGCACTTTGTGTATTAGCTATTTTATTTATCTCTATATATTTATATATTATATATAAATATATGTATCAAAATATTTTTTATATTTCTGCTTATGAGTTACTGGTGCATTTCCTTTGCATGCATCTATTTATTTTTATTTCCATACAGAACTGAGATAATGGATCATGAATCTAGGAGAAATTTAATGGAACTCATCTGGAAAGCATGAACCAGAGGAGTATGAACCTTGAGGAGGTCTCACACTTCTGAGTTTAGTTTAGGTGATGACAATGATTAACTCTTCTACCTCTTTGTTTTCCATCTGTAAAACAGGGATAGTTATGCTTATGCTTTTCTCCAAAAGCATTGAGTAGCTTAATCACTACATTGAATGTCAGCTGCTAATGTGGGTGTTGCATCATTATTTCTCCCATTGCAGCATTTTTTAGACTTTCATAAGGATCCCAGATTTGATAAATCATCTTTTTCAGATGGAGGATATTCTAGAAAGTCTTCAAAGCTTGATTTCTGTTTCTTAAGTTTTTGTTTTTGTAAAATGTTAGCAATGTACATATATGCTGTAACCTAATTTCTCCACTATAGTTTGCTTATGCTGAAGGGACTCATTCTTCAATGACCAGACTGGGCAAGCTTGCAAAGTAGTTTATACAGCTTGCTACTCTGAATGAAACATAGCTTCCTGTTATCTAAGAAAAGTAATGAGGACACACTGGAAGACTTGGAGCTTGCGCTTTTACCTATTCACTTTGTTCCAGCAGCATTTTGCTGCCCTTTGTTGGTTTTCTCTTGCTAACCATCTTGTCATATATGCTTCCTACCATATCATCTCCATGCAACCAAAGAGCCCGCAAACCAGCTTCTGTCCCAGGAGATGCAAGGACATTCATTGGCCATACTTTAAAATCACCTGCCTCCTTCTGTTCAGCAACACACAAAAACTTTCGGTTGGAAGGAAGCACAGCATGGAGGTTTTGACTCAAATAAGAAAGAGAACCTAATGCATTCAAAGATCTCATTAATACAATAAGCTGTGAAGGTATGAGCTATAGAGGAAGGGGCAAATGGCTGTGCAAAATCATGAAGACAGGGCCCGAGTCTCCATCCCTCTACTCAGAGTTCAGTTGGTACGATTCCCTTGACCTCACGTGAGTTGTGTGTGTGTGAAATAGCGTAATAGAGCAGAGAATCCTGCAAATCCTGCAGAAGTTTCCAGTAAAATCTAAATGATCCTTAAATGATTGCTGTGGGCCTCCCCAACAAGTGTGGCAGTACACGTAGTAATGCTGCCCATTTTAAATTGGATAGTTAACTAGAAATCTAACCAACCTTGTCTATTTGGAAAGTTATAATTCCCATGGCAGAGGAGGACTCAAATGACCAGAAGCTGTTTCCATGCATATAGCACTGAGCTTCTTTCAGCTGCCATCATTTTAAGTTCTCCCTTTGCTGCTCTTAAGGTCATACTTAACCAATACTTTCTTCCCTTTCCACTTCATAGACACACACATTAATTAAAATAATAATCCAACGAGCCTCTCCCCTGAGGTAAGTCATGATGTATTTTACAAGAGTGGGTTTGTTTGGGGTGACCAGAAATGATGCATATTCTCTTAGTTTTGAGATGATTATTTTGTTGAGAAATAGAACAGTTTTGTACAGCTCCCAGGTGTAATAGGCAGCCTCTATATGTCATCAAGGACAGAAGGGGCTGGAGCGGTTGCTTCCCCCTTCTGTTCTGACCTGCTTTTTCCCTGCTAATGGTTATTATCTCTTAGACAGTAGGATTCCTTTAGAGAATCAAAATGAATTAGGTGAGTAGTTTAAATGCTTGGTTTCTAATGCCTTGGTTTATCTTCATCAAAAGTGCAGTTTAACCTAATTTTTATTTGTTAATACAAATTTTTTTTTTTGGGGGGGGGGGGGGGGAGATGGCAATTAAATATGCTTGCGGCTATCTCTGTATTTGCATTACTTACTGTATCCTCCTGAATTAATATAGGCAAATATACATAGTAAAAATAATTGGTTTGGTAAAAATGTAGTTGATCACACTGTTCAAAGAAAAGATCGTTTGGGCTCCTCTGCTCATGCTGAGGAAGAGCTAGCTTTCATAGGTGCAGTTTTGATGTGATCATTTTAACCCTTGTCTCTGTAGGCATCAGCGAACTGTGCTACTTTATTTCATTCCGGTCGAACTCGCAGCTGAATCCCGGTTGCTAGATCCTTTCTATCATTGTTAATAGGCAAAAAGACCATCCTACCTAGAGTAAATGTATGTGCACTGTAAAGCTGCTTTTGCCTGGGAATAATATGTTTGCAAGTGTCTTGTGTAATGAAAGTGACAGGTTGCTTTCAAGTAAGGCGGTCGGTAAGGGCTCATCAGCTCAGGGCAGTGCAGAAGGTAATGTGTTTTCTGCACAGATAACTAGAAAGGAAAATTGGCTGGATGCACTGCAGTGTGGATCTCTGCTTCCCTGCTTGGAGCAGAGATAAGTCTCCTGGCCTCTGCTGTGCCCAAATAAGCTGACAAACCTGATGAATGGAAAAGCCTCGTATCTCAGAGTCACAAAAAGCACCGAGGTGAACTTGGCAAACGTACCGTTCTGAATGCACTTGGATTATCAGCCGCAGCCGAGTAAATGGCTCGCCCTTCAAAATACGGCCTTCTGAATCAAAGCCAGCGATGTAGCCGTGGATGTATCGGAGTCAAACGGGTTATCTTGCCTTAGAAAAGTGATGTCACTAGCAAGATATATCTGTGATACTTACAGGGTTTGCATCTGTTCTTTAGAGAGGAATACTGCAAAGCTCTTGAGTGTTTAAAACTTCTTTCAGTTTTTGTTGAGGTTCTTGCCCTCTTCTCATGGCAGCAATTAAAGAACAGTGTTTCTCCTCAAAGTAACTATGCGCTCAAGAAAAGCAACATTGCCGGGTGCCTGTGTAGTCTTGCCAGCGTTCATGTTCCTGGGAGCACCTCTAGCCTCTCCTGCAGAGGCAGTAGTTTGCTGAGTGTGTATTATATTTGAGAAAAACTTGGAGCAGCAAGTGCATTCCCCTGCCTGCTCCACGGGGTACTCCAACAGGGAGCAGGAGGGGAGAGATGAGCAGGTGATGAACTACAGAGACAAAGCTGATCATTAGAAACATGCTTATACCTCTATAACGTAAGCACCCGTAAGTGTGCGGTGATACAGGTCATATGTATGAAGGAGGAGTAGGGGCTGGGAGCTTAACAGTCATTTGGGGTTTTGCTGTATGTTTGGGAAAGAAAATTTTCAAACTGGAAATTAAAAAGGAGCGAGGGGGTTAGCCCATTTTAATGCTTCCACTAAGGATAAGAAACTGATACCTGAGAGGCCTTTATACCTTTTATTTCCATTATTTATTTCTCTTTATTACTGTTTGTGTACGGTAGATACAGTGAAGTAGCACAGGGCGTTTAAGGAAGACCTGATGCCAGCAGCCGTGCGGGAGCTTTGCAAAGGCTGCAGAAGGAAAGAACGGCGGCAGACAGGGCACTTGCGTCATCCTTCAAAGTATATAGAGTAGCATTGGTGTGCCCCTTATTGCCTTCTCATCCCCCTTCCTATCTTGAGCTCGGTACACCCCGCTAAACTCTTCCCCGTTTGCGTCTCATTGAATGTGTGCACTGCCCCTTGTTTCACGCGCTTTGCACAACCTTCTGCCTTTGCTCTGCCTGTTGCCCCTGCGTTAATCCCTGC